TCCAGATGTTCCAATTTTTCTACCTAATAGACCTGCTGAAATTGAACCCATTAAGGGTAAAAATAAAATTAATAAATACATTTGAATTATTGATTATAACGTTAAACTAGTTTATTAATAAATTTAGTTTTTAATTAATATTAATTAAAAGATTTATTTGAACTTAGTAACGGTATTATTGGTTAGAGATATTACTCCATTTAATCTGTAATATACTATAAGAATAGATAAACCGATTGCAGATTCTGCACCAGCTAATGCAATAATAAAAAGAGCAGCAAGTTGACCAAAATTATCATTATAAGCTAAAGCATTAATTAAAAAAATAAGAGTTACAGATAAAAGCATCAATTCTATGCTTACAAGCATTAAAATAACATTTTTGCGATTTAAGATGAATCCGACTAACCCAATAATAAATAAAGAAAGAGATCAAGTCATTTTGTGTTATATTTTATAGTTATTCCTTAGGGAACTTCGGGACGAATAAAAAGGTTTGATAAAAATATGGTTTAAAAATATGGTTTAAAATTTTAATTGTACGAAATTTAAGCATAATAAAATATATATTTTATATTTTATATTTTATAAATTATAATTTATATTTTATATTTTATATTTTATATTTTATATTAAAAAACCTTTTATGTTAATAATTATTAATTTAATTATTAGCATTTGGAAAAGATGGGAGTCGAACCCATAAGAGAAAATCTCCGCCATTTAGCAAATGACTTATCTTGCCAATGAAAACTATTCCTTATAATTATTTTACAAAAAGCAAAATGCATTTATTGAAATTAAACTTTTTAATTATTATATAAATTATTAAAAATGAAGTATAATATAAATTAATTTAAATAAATATTATATAAATGTATAAAAAAAAAAGAAAAAAATTAAGCCTAAATTAATTAAATTTTATAGATTAAAATGAAAAATTAAAGAATAATTTCCACTCCTACTTAACAAAAGCTTGTCTACCAATTTTAACATACTTTTAGTATGGTTTTTTTTAATTAATTAATAAAACAATGGTAAATAATATGAATAAATGTTTAAAAGAATAAAATAAAATAAATATTTAAAAATGTATATAGTAAAAAGTGTTAAATAGTATAAAACTATAAACAATATAATCAATCCAGTAAATATAATAACATAAATAATAGAAATAATATTTAAATTTAAATAAGTATTATATTAGAATAAAAATCATATTTTTTAAAAATAGTAATAAATTTTATTAAATAAAAAAAAAATAATATTATAATTTTAATTATAATGCTAATATGTATTAATAAAATTCATATTTGTTAATTATAGAAAAAAACAAAATTGTACGATTATAATATAAATGATAAAAATAAATTATGCAAAATTTTTAATGATTTAATATTTATTATATTATATATTATTATATTATATTTTTTAGATTATATAGGAATGAAAAGTACAACCTTAATTAATTAAAATCTTAGATTGTTTTTGGTTGAGTTGTGGTGGTTTAAATAAAAAGTGTATTATAATTCAGCCCGACTTTCTAGCCGGACTACTCTGCTATGACTTTTGAGATGTTACTCAAATGGCTTGAATCGACATTATTAAATAAATACTTAGTAATAATTATCTAAGTAAATTGATAATATTAAATTAAATAATTTAAATAATTTTGTTATCTTCCACCAAAATAAGATTCTTCCCAGCGACAGACAATTAGTTCATTACGAATTAAAACTTCACCGTTGCGTCTTATGATCAACGATTACTCGGAATTCCTACTTCATGAAGTCAAGTTTCAGACATTCAATTCGTCTATAATTTTTTTTAATGATTAGCTCCTCCTCACGGTATTGCTTCACTTTGTAAAAATTTTTGTTGCACGTTTGTAGCCCATAACATTAGGGTCATAAAGGCTTGTCTTTGCCCCCTATCAAGTCATCATTATAATGACAGTGTTAAGTTTAAATTAACAACGAGGATCGCGTTCATTTGTGGAATTAACCTAAACCCTTACGGTATGAACTGACGACAGCCATGCAGCACCTGTTAGTTTGAATAATAAACCTAAATTTAATAGTAAACCTAATATAAAAAAAAAGTAAACTTAAATTTAGTTTCAAACTTATGCAAGTTATGGTAAGATTTTTCGCGGACAATCGAATTAAACAACATGCGCCACTCCGTTTGCTTCGAAACCGACTATTTTTTTTGATTTCACTTTTGCAAGTGTACTCGCAAGGCGGAATGGTTAAAGCTTTCGCGTCGAAATGATTCTTAAATCAAAACGACCATTCATCGTTTACAGCGGAGAATACGCAGGTTCTAATCTGCTTTTCTACCTCCGCCCTCGTAAGTCAACGTGGATCTATATTGGAAAACTGCCTTCGCATTTAGTATTCCATTCAGTATCAAAGTATGTCGACACTACACTGAACATTATATTTTCCTATTTTTAGATTCTATACTCTCTTAAGAGTCTGTCTAATTACGCTTTAAGCCTGATTATGTAGACTAGTTTAGCGCCTCCTGTATTACCGAGACTTCTGGCACAGGTGTTGGTCGGCACTCAAAATTTAATTATATCATAATTAATATTTAAATTCTCTATTGGATAGATACTTTTTAACTCGTTCACTCTTTCGAGCATTGACAAATATTCGCGGCTGCTGGTCGAAACAACGAGGGATATTTCATTCCCACTGTGGTCAACAATTTTCTCAAATGTGACTACCGATCGTAGGCTTGGTGGGCCGTTACCCCTATTTATTTTACCAACTACCTAATCGGTTTAGCAATGATCTAAAAGCGGAAAATTTCCTTTTTAAATTATAATAACAAAAATCATATTTAAAAATTAAATATTCTATAATAAATATAGAATATAATTAAAAATTTAAAATTAACAAAAGAAATTAAAATTTTTTATTCCTTATTTCAAAGAACTTAAAGGTACATATTTGCTAATTTTACTCACCCCTACACTTTTTAAACATTTGTTTAAAAAAATTCGCATGCCTTATCTTAAAAGCAAAAAACTAAATCAGAGTCAAAATTAAGCTCTCAATTAAATTTAGGTTTTTAAAAACCGTATTATTCAAATTATTATTCTAATTTTTAAAAATAATAATTGATTATTCTTCTTTTAAATAAAAAAATAATTTAATTATTTTTAAAATATGAAAAATTTATTGATAAAAAAAATAATGAATAAAAAAAAATAAAGATTAATAAACAGAATAGTATTAATCATATTCCAATGGATTAAAAAATAATTAAAGGGTGCATAAAAATATTAAAGATGTGTTAAAAATCAGTATATTGAAAAATAGTGAAAACCACCCAATTTATTTGAACTCTAAACTCAAATGTGCAGGTTTAAAGTAGGTGTAGTAAATAAATTTTAATATTTCAAAAAATATAATATAATTTTGTTTTTAAAAATTACATTTTATTAAAATTAAATAAAAGGTTGTTTAAGGTTATTTTTAAAACCTTAAACCTAAAAACATAAAAAAATTGCTTGGTTGAGTGTTGGATTAAAAATTTTTATGGAGCCTGAAGCCCTCCAATGAACTTTTTTTCATTGGAGGGCTGTATATGATTGTGTATTATAATAAAATTATTTGGTAAGTGGTATAATTTAAAAAATAAAAAGTTAAAATATTAAAATTTTTAATATTTAATCTAGTAAAAACTTGTTACAGTTAATTATTTAATAATAAATTTAACTTAAAACGAGCTATAATTAATTTAAAGTATAAAAAATGAGTTTATTTATTAGTGTAGGTATTCAGCATCTTTAATGTATGATGAAACTAGTAAAACTAGAACGTAAGCTTGGATGAAACTTACAGCTATTTCAAGTCCTAAGATACCAATGAAAATAGCAAAAGGAATTAAAGTAACAGCAAAAACTAATAGGCTAGAAGTGAATAATTTATACAAGAATGATGAAAGAATACTTACAAGAGTATGTCCCGCTGTAAGGTTAGCAAATAACCGTAAACCTAGTGAAACAGATCTAGCAAAGTATGAAACTAATTCAATTACTACTAATAAAGGAACTAATGCAAGAGGAGTTCCTGCTGGTACGAAGAAAGAAAAGAATTTAAGTTGGTGTTTAACTAAAGCAAGAATTGTCACACCTAAGAAAATTGTTACAGATAATCCTAAACAAAGAATGATAGAACTTGTAATAGCAAAATTATAGGCTACATTACTTACTAAATTTGAAATTAAAACAAAAACAAATAATGAATAAATAAAAGGTAAGTAAATTTCTTTATTTTCACCAATTTGTCCTCTTACAATAGAAGAAATTGTAGCATAAAGGCTTTCAAATGCCATACTATAAGAACTAGGCACAAGAGCAAAATTATTGTTAGATAAATAGTGTAGTCCAATTGTTATTGTTAAAACTATTAAAGCATAAAGTCCAAAGTTAGTAAAACTAAGATAAAAATTACCTACAATAGGTGAATTAAATCCAAATAATGAAAAGGTTTCGAATTGATCTAAAGGAGAAAACATAATATTATTATTAAAGTAAAAAAAAAAACAAATACAGTGTATATTAGGCATAAAAAAAATTAAAGTTTTAAAACTTTAATTTTTTAAATACAATTAAAATAAATTAAGCTTTTAAGGATATAAATATTTATACTTTTAAAAAGCAAAAAATAAGGTTTAACTACACTCCTTTCTCAAAGGGTGAACTAATTTTTTATAATTAAAAACTCAGTTTGTCTTATAAAGACAAACTGAGGTTATTAAAAAATAGAGTCCACTGTTAAAAAATGTTTTTAACATTTTCGCCACAAAACCACAAACTACCACTACATTATTAATATAAAAATTATTTTACTTTAAATTTAGATTAAAAAAATTCTATTTTAAATATAGAATTTTAAAAGACTAATAATAAAAAGTGAATATAAAAAACAAATTTTTTATTTTAACTTATACAATATAATAAATTTATAATAATATATTTTAAATAAGACCAGAGGGAGTCGAACCCTTCATTGTGTACGTTATGAGCGTAGTGCATTAACCAATTATGCTACAGTCTCATATAGCCTAATTAATATATGTTATATTAAACAAATAAAATAAATTAAAAACAGGCAATCAAATAGACATTGAAAACACAAAAAGCTAAAATTTTTATTAAATTATTATAAAATTAAGGTGAAATTTCACCTTAATTTATAATTGTATAAGAGTTTAAAAAGAAAATATTTAGTAGGGATTATTTATTATAAAAAACATTATTGAAAGTTGAAAACAATTATAACATATTGTACAATTTTTTTTAACCACAATAAAATAAGATTGAAAATTAATAAATTTTATTAATTTAGGTTTTTATTCTGTGAATTGAAAAACATAATTACCTTAATACTTAATTATTAAATTAACTATTTAAAGTAGTAATATAGTATCGTGTTAATGATAAATAAACAAAATAAGGTAAAATATATCGTGAAAATAAAAAAATTAAAGTTACTAATACAAAAAATGTAAATGAAATTTGATTAACGAAAAAATAAGGAACTAGTTGAGGCATTATAAAGAAAGTTTGACTTATACCTTACCTTTACACCGATTTAATAAAAAAATGGTATAGAATTTAATTATTTAATTATTGAATTTACCTTTAAAATAGTGATTTGATTAAACCTTATTTTATTTTTTTTTAATTAAAATTGGTTAATATTAGTTAGGTATAAAATAAAATTTATTTAGCTTAAGAAATTATTTTGAAAATTATTACAAAAAAAAACACAAAAACAATACGAGAATATTTTAATCGTAAGAAAGGTAGAATTTGTAAGTTTAAATTAATCTTAAGAAAGCTGCTTCTAAATTATAATTTTTTTATTTATTTTTAAAATAAATATTATGATTTAAATTAAATAGAAGCTTTTTCGATTTTCTATGGTTTATTATTAAAATTAGGTTAATTAATTAATTAATCTACTCTGCAAAAATAAATAAAGAAAATAATGAAAAATAGTTTTATTTGATTCGATTTTCGATTTTAGGATGTAAAAAAAGTACAAATGAAAAAGAAGTAAATTATGGTTTAATAAACTATAATTTAGGACCAATGTTTAAGCTTAATAAAATTTAAATGTTGCTTAAATGTTGCTTAAATTAAAACTAAATTATAATTTAATTTGAAATCAATAATTTTTTGTATAATATATTTAATTAAAAATAAAGTAAAAATTAAATAAAATTAAGGATAAATAAATTAACCCTATTTTTAATCTTTTTAAGTTTTAAGGTTTTAAAATAAATATTTAAACTCAAGGAGATTCGAACTCTTACACCGCCCTCATCAAAGGCGTATTCTACCGTTAAATTATGAGTTTTATAACCATTATACCATGAGTAATAATATTCAAATGGTTTTGGTTTTTAGGTTACATAAAAAAAAAAGGGGGTTATTAAATAGATAGATTATTAAAATGAATTTAAAAATTTGTTTTTAGTTTTTACTAAAATGGTAAGCATAAAATAAATATTTTTTATTTTATTAATTTTTCAATAATAAATAGATAATAGGCGGAAATTAAAATTTAAACCAAAATTAATACAATTTTTAGTAAAAGCATCGCTAAATTTAATCCAATTTAAACTTCATATTTATTTAAATAATTTTTAATTTTTATTAATTCAATTATTATAGTTGTTTGGAAAAGGACACTAAGGGATTCGAACCCTTGACCCGATAAAGAGTATTTGCTTTCAAAACAAAGGTATTAGACCACTCTACCAAATGTCCCATTATTTTTATTAGTTCATTTTGATTTTATTTAAGTATTTTAATAACTTTGGCCCTGATAATTTACTAAAAATTTCATTTTTAATTAAAATAAAATTAAACTTTTAATTTATTTGTTTATTAGAACATTAAATCTAAGCTAAAGAAGAATATATATTTGTAATTATTATTATTATTATAATTACAAAAATTGTATTTATAATTGTACAAGTAAACAAAAAAAGGAAAAAATAATTACAAAAATTGTTATTTAAATTTTAAATTGAGCTGCAAAGGAATCGAACCCTTAACGATCAAAAGATCAGTTTTTTTACAGAAAACCCCTATGACCACTCTGGCAGCAGCGCTTTTTAACAATTTTGTTTTTAATTTAATAATTTTTAAATGGTTGCAAATAAATTATTATTGTATTAAACAATAAATTTAAAACTTTTTAATTTTATATTTTATGGTTAAAATAAATTTTGTTGATTGAGAAAACTAATTAGTTTAGGTTCAAATTATGACTCTAATCATTTATAATTGACCATAATGCTTCGAGATTGACTCGAACAATCGGTATCTAATTCTTCAGATTAGCGCTTTACCAACTAAGCTATCGAAGCTTTATTAATTATAGTATTTAATTTATTTTTATTTTTATTATTATTATTATTTTTTAGAGTCATATTAAATATTAATTAAAAAAAAAATTAATATTTTAAAAAACTATTAAATATTATTAATCTTTATTTAGACTACAAATAGAATATATAAAAAAAATTATTGTTAATAAAAAAAAATAGTTTAATTTAATTGGAGGCAAAAAGACTCGAACTTTTATTCAGTCAGTGCAAGTAACCGTGATTACCATTATCAGATACCCCCTTATTAAGTATTTTTAATTAAATTATAAATAATTAAAAATATTTTGGTAATTGTTTTTTTTGTTTCTTTTAAAAAGTAAATTAAAAACTATTAAATTATTTTTTAACTAAAAGCAAGGGCTAAACTTTATTATTTAATATTTTGTAAAACAAAGTTTTTAGTCTTTTAAAGATTTTGCATATTGTGTGGGTTGACTGGGAACTCGATGTCGACTCAACTTTTCCTCCGTAGGAAAAAAACTCGGAAAGAAAAAGAAGCATTAATAAAAGAATAAATTTTCCTTTAGGCTATTAATATTTTGATAAGACTAATTATAATACAACTAAACTTTTTAATTTTTAAACTAATACTTAAAAAGGTTATTTTTAATTTTAATACACCCTGTGTTATTTTTTTTTTATTATTATAAAATATATTAATATTCTTTAATGTAAATGTAAAGAAATATCTTTTTAAAAAAAAAGATTTTTAAAATACCTTAATTTTGTGCCATACTACTTTTTATTATAATATTTTATAAATAAGACTATGTTTAAATAGTACAAAATTTTAAAAGTTTACCCTACTACCTTAATTTTTAAATACTACCCTATAAAAAGGATTAGATTTATATAATTTCTTCTCCCTGACTCGAACAGGGATTTTCACTTTAGAAGAATGAAATTTTAACCATTAAACTAAGAAGAAGAAAATAAAGGAATAAAGTTTTTTAATTAAGACTATAAAAATAAAATTTTAACCTTTATATTAAGAAAAATTTAAAAACTTAATAAATATATAATATTAAATAAGTATTGTGTTTATTAATTTTGTTGCTTTGTTACTATTCTACCAATTAAAAGGTGAATTTTACTGAAAATTATTTTATTTTAAAAAAGTTTTACAATAAACATACATTTTAAGCAATTTTCTGGTAAAATTATAAAATTGAGTTTTCAATGAAAGTTAAAAATAATAAAAAAATTTACCAAAACTATAAATTTTTTATTAAGGTTAATAGTTTTACCAGAGCTAAGAAGGGATCGAACCTTAGTTTACCAAATTTGCAATTTGGCTACAGAACCTTCTGTAAACTTAACTCGCTTTCGTTTAGATTATAGCTAAAGTTGCTTATTAATTTTAAAGAATAATATATTCTAGTAATAAGGTTAAATAAACTAATAATTTTACTCTGTACTCAGTAATAAATTTAAAGTAAAAATAAATATTTACTTATACGCCTTAGCGTAAATTATTAAATAATAATAATTTAATTATATGGTAGTAAACTTATTATGACTATATAGTTTGGATGATGATGGAAGGGATCGAACCTTCGACCAATTCTTTAAAAGAGAATCACTCTACCACTGAGTTACATTATCTAAAAAAAATTTTTTAATTTTTTTAATTGCCTAGAACTATAAAAAAGCTATATTATACATAAAATTATTTAAAACTAAAATAAATCAGTTTATGGTGGCAAATTTTTGTAAACTAAATTAAATTTTAAAATAAAAAACCTAATTTATAATAAATTAGTTTTAAAATATTTATAAATAATATTTTTTTATAAACATATGTTTGTATAAACAATAGTTTACTTTACCAATAGTTCTTAATATTATTGAGTTGGCAAGATTCGAACTTGCAGTAACTACCACCAAAAAGCAGTGTTTTACCTATTAAACTACAACTCAGTTCTAGTAAAATAAAATATTATACCAATTATACTACACCTGACCCTTTTTTTTAGTTTTGAGTTTTGCTACGCACAAGATTTAGCACAAAGTTTTTTATTATTTTTAAAAATATTAAAAATAAAAACTAAAGATTAAAGACAGGTTTATAAAAATATTTCAAAATTTTAAATAATTTATTATTAAAAGGTTACGTGAGTTGGGTTTAATACGTCGTGAGACAGTATGGATCCTATCCTCTGAAGGAAAAAGAAGCATAAATAAATAATAACACTTCTTTTTAAAAACAGCAAATATTAAAATAATAATTTTTCCTTTAGCCTTCTAATTTTTAGGGTAGAACTAATCTTAACGCAACTAAACTTGTTAATTTTTAAACTAATACTTAAAAAGGTTATTTAATTGTTTTTAAATTATTTTAAATTTTTTCCTATCCTTCTATGACTTAAAGGTTTAATAATACATTATATATTAAAAATATGTCAAAATTAAATATTAATAAATTATTTCCTACACCTAACCAAATACTGCTAAATTTTTAAGGTGTTGTTATTTAAATATTTTGTCAAACCCGAGATTCGAACTCGCGTCTCCTACTTACAAGGTAGGCGTTCTAACCGACTAAACTACTCTGACTTTATAAAGAAAAAAAAGGAAAAAAGGGGAAAAATTATGGTGGCAAATTAAAACTAACTTTTAAAAAAGAAAGTTATGATCTTTACCAGAATCGAACTGGTATTCTCAACGTGAAGAGCTGTTGTAATAACCTTTATACTAAAAGACCTTTAATTTTTAATTAATTTAAATAAACGGAGTGAAAGTAAAAAAAAATAAAAATATACTTAAAAATCATTATTATTACTAAAAACAAAATATTTTAGCCATAATAATTTTATAATATAAATTGAGCGAAATAAGGATTTGAACCTCAAGCTTCTGCTCATGAGGCAGATATTTTACCTTTAAACTATTTCGCTTTTAACTAGTATTATATAAACACATTTTTCAATTTAAAATTTTATATTAATTTATAAAAACCAATAATATAATAAATAAATTATTAAAAACTATTTACTTTTTATGTGTTTGTTAATTGTACTATTACAATTATTAGTAAAAGAGAAAACACTAGCACTAATATAAAAATATAAAAGCTTTCTTTTAATAAAAAAAAAAGGTGGGGGAAAATAAAATTTTAAATATTAGGCAGAAAAATGGATTTTATAATTATATTTAGAAAAAATTTAGTATTTTATTAATCAGGCAAACTCTAAAGAGACATGTAATTGATTTTGATTTTTTTTAGAAAGTTAGCCGTAAGCCGAAAAAAGGAATTGAACCTTTATGCCGCCTGCATGAAAGGCGAATTTTAACCAATTAAATTATTTCAGCATTTAATTTATAAGAAAGATTGTATTAGTAAAAAAAAAACCGAGCCTAATTTAAAATTTAAATTTTTTTAAAAACCAAAATAATTATTTTAGCTAAATATAAAGAATAAGCTCTATTATAAAATAATGTAAATTATAATATAAAAATATAAACCAAAATTAAATTTATTTTTTATTTTTAAGAAAGGGAAATAAAGTTTATACTAAAAATATGTTAATTTTGGTTTTAATCTAAGCCTTTATTTAAAAGGCAAAGATAGCATTTTTTAGAACTTTTTTAAAAAAGGGGGGGGG